ACTACTCTATCTTTACACCGACTCTTGGATGGTGGCCAATGCCTTGTGGGGGTGGCTGCAGCAATGGAAGAAGAACAACTGGCAGCGCAGAGGCAAACTTATCTGGGCTGCCCCATTGTGGCAAGATATTGCTGCCCGTCTGGAGCAGCTGGTTGTAAAAGTGCACCAAGTGGACGCCCACATATCCAAGTCGGGCCACTGAGGAACATCAAAACAACCAGCAGGTGGATCAGGCTGCTAAGACTGAAGATGCTGAGGTGGATCTGGACTGGCAACATAAGGGTGAACTGTTTATATCTCAGTGGGCCCATGACACCTCAGGCCATCAAGGAAGAGACGCAACATATAGATGGGCTCGTGACCGAGGGGTGGACTTGAGCATGGACACTATTGCACAGGTTATTCATGACTGTGAAATGTGCACTGCAATCAAGCCAGCCAAGCAGGTAAAGCCTCTGTTGTACGGAGGACAATGGCTGAAACATAAAAATAGGGTCTGTGAAATGTGCACTGCAATCAAGCCAGCCAAGCAGGTAAAGCCTCTGTTGTACGGAGGACAATGGCTGAAACATAAAAATAGGGTGCCCTGGCAGACTGATTGTATCACATTTCCACAAACCTGCCAAGTAAGCACCATGTGCTCACAATGGTGGTAGCAACCATCGGATGGCTGGAAAACTACCCTGTGCCCCATGCCACCACCTGGAACACTAGGCTGGGCCTTGAAAAGCAACTCATGTTGCTCGCTCTGTGGCACCCCAGAAAGACAACAGGACTGATTTGCGTAACAATTTCATAGACACCTGGGCCAAAGAACATGGTATTGAGTGGGTGTATCATATCCTATGTCATGCACCCGCCTCTGGGAAAATCAAACAGTACAATGGACTGTTAAAAACTGCTCTGAGAGCAATGCGGGGTGGGGCCTTCAGACACTAGGATACTCATTTAGTAAAATCCACCTGGTTAGTTAACAACAGGAGATCCACCAACTGAGCTGGCCCTGCCCAGTCAAAACTACCACATACTGTAGAAGGGCATAAAGTCCCCACAGTGCACACGAAAAATACGTTAGGGAAGACAGTCTGGGTTAGTCCTGCCTCAGGCACACGCAAACCCATCCACGGGATTGCTTTTGCTCCAGGACCTGAGTGCCCTTGATGGGTGATGCAGAAGGATGAGGACATCCGATGTGTACCTCATGGGGATTTGACTTTGGGTGAGGAATGTCAATGAATTAAGTTGTGTGATGTTAATTGCTAAATAACCCTGTCACCGTATGTCATCAGCACTATAGTCACTATATGCCAGATCAATGGTATTACAGTAAGAATAACCCAAACTAATGAAGGATGGGCTTTGATAAAACCGAGCAAAGTGTAGGGGTAATGGGACTGGACCTGGCTTCAGCAACTGGCGCCCAGCAAATTCCTTGAGACTGACATCTTCAACCTGCAGACCCTGGGCATGGGCCATGCCAGATAGACCAGCCGCGAGCTCTGGATGCAGCATGCAGTCACCCAACACCACATACCATGTCTCCTGCCCTGAAGGACTGTTAAGACAGGCGGAGCCCAAAGTCGCGATTAAATGAACTCAACAGATGTTTTAAAGGGACAGCCCACAGACTAAGGGAATGCTATCTCTGTGTGTACCTCTCTCTCTCTCAAAGACAGGAAAAGTGGTGGTGATTAATTGGAAAATGGGGGACCTAGGCATGACATAGATGGTATAGAATAAGGGGTGGACAATGTCCTGGTTTCGGTTGGGGTAGGATAAATTTTCACAAGAAGCCAGGAGGGGACACAGCTAGGACCTAAACAAACAGGATATTCGATACCACGTGACATCAATGCTCGGCATATCAGTCAGGGAGCTGGCTGGGGACGGGTAATCACTGCTCAGGAGCAGAACAGGCAATAGGCAGTGAGAAAATTGCACCACGTATCCCTTGCTTTGTATATTCTTTTTATCAGTATTATTGTTATTATTTTTCTCTGCCTTTGCTGTTCTGTTAAACTGTCTTTATCCCAACCCATGAGTTTTGCTTTTTTCTTCCCATTCTCCTCCCCATCCCACCAGGAGGAAGGAGCGAGTGAGCGACCATGGGGTTCTTTGTTGCTGGCTGGGGCTAAACCCGCACAACAAGGTACAAGCTGGAAAAACTTCCAGTAAAAAAGATCCACCCTTTAGCACAGCCCCAGTGGCATCGGAAAGTCAGGCTTTTGTTGCCAGACTATTGGGAAAGCCAGTTTACATAACTGACATATTGCAGGTACCTGTCAAGAATGATGCTCAAAACTCCCTGTGGGGAATCAAGGAAGGTAAGGCTTATCACCATTGGCATTCTGAATTCTGGTTACCAAGTGCTACCAAGGAAAGTCAGAACATTCACTGAGGTTTCTGTGAGGATGTCAGGGAAGAACCTAGTGAAGTATTTCACACAGTAGGTACTATAACAAAGGACATCATCAGACCTCAAGGTTCCGGCAGGGCAGGCTAACAGACGCTTGAACTTCAGTGTCACAGGAATATTTCTAACAAAGACAATTCTGCCTCAACAGTCTATCTTTTCATATTTACAGGTCAGGGCAGTGCAAAAGACTCTCCTGCAGAGAAGCAGGGTAAGGAATCTAAGCTCTAGAACAGAATATCCACCTCTCTGCATTATAGGTATTCCCTTGAGGAAAAATTTTTAGTCATTGGCACAGTACCACTAGCTAATCTCTTAAACTATTTGTGACGTCTTTGCAAGAGAAAAGCAAGACCTTACAAAGAAGATATTCAGAAAGACAGTCCAGATTCCCTTTGCTTTTAAACTGCTTGACTGTTTTTCTGTGTACTCTCTCCCAACTTACTTTTAGATAAAAGATAGTATTTGTGCAACATCGCACTGACTCTGTAGGTAACTATCAAAAGACATGAAAAGTCCATGTTTTAACGTCATACTGTTTCATAATACTAGTTTCTACCTAAACATATTTCTGCAGTTCATGTAAAGAACCTTGTCAGTTACTGTTCTGCCCCCAATAATAACTACCACTTCAAATACCTTAAGAAAAGCTGCTTGAGTAATTTACAACAGCAAAAAAAAATGTTCAAGTGTTAACTGTCACTATTGTGGAGTATATGCATTACATATGAGAGTCTTAAAATCATCCTTACAGAGATCAATTTAAAACAAAATACACAATTTCTCTTCAGCCCACTGCACTGAATATTTCTCCCCAAAGTACTACTGATGCTTTAAACTCTTCATCAGAGGTAAACTCTGCCTATAAATAAAAAAACCTGAGGGCATAACAAGCTGGGCCACATTATTGCTACTTCCAAAACAGACAAATTGCTCGCAGACTTGAGTAGAAACTACATGTAGAATCAAATCAATACAACACTTAATAATAGTAGATTTAGTCACTAAATGATAATAGAATAGCACAAATTAGCTAAAAGTGTAGAATTAAGCTAGTAACAATAAATCTGAGCTACAGCTAAAGTAAATACAATGCTTCTAACTGAGCCCAGTAAGTTGCAAGAAGCTTCAAAAGTCAGTGAGTTGAAGTCCTATGCATCTGGACAAAGGCTGATTCTCCTTTAATCAGACTGATAAGTCTGTTCTAGTACAAAAACAGTGTGTTCATCACTAAAAGTTGTTTTCTTTTTAAAAAGAACATCTTTCCTACAATCCAAATGACAACTTGTTATTTTTTTCTCTAGCATCATACAAGCAAAAGATGATGCAAGAAAATATGAATGTTATTCTTCCATATGAAAAACAAATCATACCTCATTTTCCACATGAAGATCAACTTCACCAACACACTGCATAGAACTAAAGAAATTGCTAAACTTCCCATTAATTTGCTCTATCAGCTTCTTCAAGGGGTTTAGCCACCTTTCTTTGACCTAGAAGTAGACACATCCATGTAAAACCAGTTTAGTATCTGAATATTCCTTTAGAGATAGCATTTAGATTCAAAAATATGGTAATTACAGAAGCTAACAGCTCGGTTTACACTCTAGACAACTTGTAATGTTACCCTTTATTTCAGTACATACATTCTATTCTAAATAAAGACATACTGATACAGAAGTGATAATTTCAGCTATTACCTGTGAAATGTTTTTCTTATAGTTGTCCAATTCATTTTTCTTTTCCTCTAGGTATTCTGTCAACTGCTCTATTTCTTGTGTCTGCTTATGGTATTCTTCAACAACCTGCCAGAACAAAAAAAAAACCCAAAACAAACAGTCAACAAAATGTTTGCCAATTTTAACCTTGACTGTAAAAATATCACACTGCACTGATTCTGTTCAAACACAATTATATAGATAATTGCACTGCACACTGACCAAGACATATTTCTAGCTTTGAAGCAAAGAAACTGTAAAGCATTGCTTATTTCATGTTAGTTCAACTTTTATTTTAAAAGGCACAGAACACACTGTTCTTTTGGAAGAACCTACTTAAAATTCTAATAGATGCAGAATCTGGCATTTACAGCACATTGTTCCTGCTGTCTAGCTTATTATACCAAGAGATCTAGCACAGAGTGGGAAGAAAGTACAATACGGGCGGAGGGGGAGGAAAAGGAGGGCAGAGGGAAAGCAGTGAACGCACCGAAGCATTCAGGCCTGTGAAACAGGAGGCCCTGGTTTTCTCCTCTTTCAGAAAAGCTTCAATTTCCTCCAGTGTGGTCGGAAGAGCCTGAAAAGCCTACAACAGAAAGGATGCATGTGTTACACAGCAAGGCTAATGAAGGACTCAGGTCTGCTAAAAAGAAATCGAGTAAGCCATAAAATATTTTATCACTTTTAGTCAGGATGTCACCTACTCAAAATTTAACACAGCAAGATTCCCTCACAAACTATGCTGGACAGAGAAAGAAGGCTAGAAGTACTACTACATAACAAAGACACACAATTGTTCCTTAGTTGCCTACCTTGTGCAGGTACAGATGCTCACAGACTTGGTACAACCCAAGGGCTATGCTAGATAAGCCATGCAAATACTTCTAGAGGCCGGGAAGACCTCCAGGCAGGCCCAGATTTCAGTTCTTTTGTGTTGCTCCATTAGAGCAAGATGCTAGAAAAATATGGCCCCTAATTATTCCTATGAACACAAGACTCGATTTTAACTGAAATTTCAGAACAAATTTTCCCTCCCCTGTGCACAGAGCAAAGTGATAGTCAGAGGATATCCCAGCACTATTTGAAGGTGCTTTAAAAGTGTAAGTGATAATACATGAGTCAACACTAACAGAAGCATAGATGATCCTTTACTGGTAGCCTTCTAATATGAAATATGTAATATTCATTGCAGGAAAAGTTAGAATGGTGTACATCATCCAAAATTTAAGAGCTATGTGGAGATCTGGTTTTGTACATACAGTTTGAAACTCTTTTGGAAGATGTTGATCTGCGGTCAGTTTGCAGACCTGACGAGCTTTTTTCAGCAATTCCTTGCAATTCTCTGTAAGAACTCGCTTCCTATCATCCAGTTCACGAAATTGTTGCTGTTAGAAAAAATATTAAAGATATTAAAATACATTATTTTTTCACTTTATCATAAATTTCTAGAGGTGACACTAGCACACTGGCAACAAACATCCGAATCAGAGAACACAGATGAAATCAGACTGCTTAAAGTTCAAAAATCGGTTTCAATCACAGAATCACAGAATCACAGAATAGTAGGGGTTGGAAGGGACCTCTGTGGGTCATCTAGTCCAACCCTCCTGCCAGAACTCATTTTGCTTCTCTGCTTGAAGCCACAAGAAGCCAACGTGAAACGATCAAAAGCATGTTCTTGTAATACAGCTAAATCTACTTTCTATCACCTAGGCAAGTGTGCATGCAGACTGAGCTATTTTACAGGAAATTCCTTATAAGCCAAAACACAACTACTGTGAGCCTTATTTTTTTATTAGCTTCCATTCAACTGTATTTATTTGCTTGGGAGAACATGGTGGACTTGATGTACACTGAATGGTATTTTAGCTGGAAGTTTACAGAGTAAACATCATAATCACACAATCAGAAGTACTTCCTTTGCTGTTTCATATTCTACCTCTGTAACACAGCCAGCAAAACACAAAATGCAAACGCACATAACTTTTAAACTAGTGCTGAAAAATAAGTGAAAAGCAGGTACAGTTTCTCCAGGGTAAACTCTTTGGAACTCACTACAGGTAAGTGGCCAACGAAGCCCTATGACTTTTGTAATGCAATGTTACCAAAACAGTAGTTAAAATACAATACACAAAATATGATACCTTCATGAAACACTAAGCTAAAGATTATCTCAAATAAGCAGTATTCAGGCAAAAAACCTGGAAAGCCTTAAGTATCTCTTCCCCTCTGCCCCCAGAAATCTCTCTCACTTATCTCCGTACACACAGTCCCTAGCACAGGCCTGCTGCTTCCGAATGCTGAGCTCGCAGTGCCTGGCAGTCACTTCTTGCTGCTGTCTCCCAGCTCAGGTGAGCACCCACCTGCAGATACCTGGGAGCTGCCAACCTCTTAGAAGTGAAAAGGAACACATGCCAAGAATACTGGAGCTTTTAATGCAAGTTATTTTACTATACATTTACTCGGTGATTACAAGCACAATCCATTTTTTTAACAGACACACCAGGGGAATGCAGGTTTTTTCAGAGGCACAAAATTCAAACTCAAAATCCATACGCACAATATTTTGCTTCAGAACTTTCTTCTGACAGTTTAGAAAGTGTAGTGATGTTCCTACACTTGGAAGAGCTTTATCTTCTCAATTTTTATTGTTGTGTATTTCAGTTAAATATGGGAGCCCCCCAGTGGCAAAAATTTTTGAAGTGTTTGGAGGTTATACAGCTAGATAAATGTTTATTCTACATTTCCAAAATACAGGACACAGACATCAATAGCAACTCACATCACTTTCTAGCAAGTTAGTTAATCTTCATCTAAACACAACAGAAGCAGTTATTAACAGATATGGTCATGAGTGATCATCAGTGGAGTTCTCACACTCACTTAAGAACAAGCGTTTCTGTTCTCTACAGCATATATCAACTCAAAAATACTATTTCTCCTTCCCTCCACCAAGCACTAGGAAATAGACCTTGTGTTAGAAGTAAGCAATTCACAATCTTCACAAATACACTGTAAAGACATTTTTCTGTGTTGGTGTTTTCAGAAAGGTTGGGTTTTTTTTTTAAAAAAGGTCCTCTTTTAGATTTTTTTTATGTGGTTATGAGGCACATACTAGAATAAATGCACTGACAGTTCAACGACAAGTTAAGTCTCAATTTTCCTTCAGCTCTGCCAGTTGATTGTCATGGCCACATGCTAAAAAAAGTTAGAGAAATACAAATAAATACATAAAAATACACAAGTTTTGATTCCTTCTCCCTCTCATAAACTCAAAAGTGCATGGCAACATTAAGGTTCATGTCTCAATAAAACCCACCCAGATAAAAAGGTAACTCTAAGTAGAAAGAATTACCATTTTGAACAGAGATGCTACCATGGAAAACCATAGCTTAGACAGAGCTTTATCTGGGTACTTCAGGAAGTTCTGTACTAGTGCAGGGCTATCATCACAGTTTCCTGAAAGGCACCTACCAAATAGCAGAAATCAACTACATTCTGTATGCACAAGCAATTTGTATTCTGTTGTGTTCACCAGTATTGCAACTCGTTTTGTGCAAAATAAGAAGCTGATTAAAGAAAATACAGTTAACAGCAGCCAATGTTTTCTCATGCATCCGTGTTTGAACGCATGCTTGGTGACAGCACTTCATTATTTGAAGTTTGGAAATTTATACATAGAAAAACAGAATCTGTATTTTCTTAAAACTTGGCTTAATGAACAAATGTTGCGATGTACATACTGAGTATTAATATCAATTATTTAAACAAATTTACACCAATTGAACCTGAAAATTAACAAGCTATCAAAGCAAGACAATTAGCAAGACTCTTCCAAACAACCATCATTAACATGCAGGCAACTGTGCCAATTATCTAACAAGCAGATGGGGCTAACAATCCTCCCTAATGTTCAGTACGGGTCACAAACACAGATTTGCATCTTACGCTCATTAAATAAATTAAATACAAGAAGCTGTTAAAATAACACTAAGGTTCCCACTTGACCCGCAATGACAAAATACAAACCCCAGAAATCTGTTGTTGCTAACCTGACTTCTTTGAAAACATGTACTTATCTGCCCTTTCCACCTAAGTGGTTAAAAAAATCCACCACAAAGCAACAAACATGCTGCTCTCTCCACAGCATCCCAGTGCCAAGACCTCACAAAAGGAACATATGTGATCTTCTCTTAGATACACTAAGTGAGGTTTGTGTTTGCTTCAAATCTTTTACTCACGTTTTATAAAGACTCAAGATTGCCTGGGAGATAAACACCATAAGTAAGCACTAAGCATTAACTAAGTTTCCCAGATTCTTTGGGAGATACCCACCATTCCAATTTCAGTGAATGCATCATGACCAGCACATGACCTACAAATGTGTGATTATTAAATAGAGAATTAATGGTCCCATAATTGTAACGTTTGGCCTCCAATTTAGTTCACTACATAACTTTCGTACAACATATTTATTTCTACTTCTGTTCGGATTCCTCCGTTTTGCAGGTTTATTTATTTTATAAAAACACGCAGCAACTGTTTGCGAGACCCTTGAACTGTTGCGATGGCATCCTAACAGACAGCTTTCAAGCAAGACTACCTTAATGCAGTACTGTTGTGGAAAAAAATTCATCACAGCCAAAGCCACTAATATGTTGAAGGGAAGGGACAATTTAAATGTACCATTTCGAATAACACTTAAATTGAGATGAAGCTAAAAAATACTGAGTTTTCCCCATGAAAGTGCATCTCTTAAGACAGAAAATAAGAAATAAACCACAGAATGTACAATGTACGTCATTCACAGGGTAGGGCTGAAAGACTTGTTTCAGAGACTTAACATGCAGTATATGGCAAAGCGTGGCTTTGAACTTCCATGTATGTGTAAACTTAAAATGCACTTGTATACTCAGAAGAGTTTTCCTCCAGAGCTGTTAAATTTCTCGAAATTCTAATCACTGGGCTTACCGATTTTAGGGTTTTTTTTTCTCTTTTAATGTTCCTAGAATCAACCATCCAAATATAAGCTCTGATATTACTTCCTCTACTTATGCTGTTGAATGTAACCCAGTAACAACGACTAATGGGACCTCAGCTGACTGAGACACCTCTTCACTAGTGAAGTAGGCAATTTTTGTTTAATCAAGCATTATCAACACATTCTTCAAGGAGAAAGTACATTCTTCTAGGAGGAAGTCTTAAAGGCACAGGAGCAGGCTGTCCCCATGTGCCGCAAGACAAAACGTCAGGGAAGACGACCTGCCTGGCTGAACAGGGAGCTCTTGCTGGGACTCAGGAATAGAAGGAAGGTCTAGAACCTATGGAAGAAAGGGCAGGCGACTCAAGAGGAGTACAGGGGTCTCGTTAGGTCATGCAGAGAGGAAATTAGAAAGGCAAAAGCCCAGCTAGAACTCAGGCTGGCCACTGTTGAAAGATACAACAAAAATATTTTTACAAATACATCAACAACAAAAAGAGGGGCAATGAGAGTCTCCATCCCTTACGGGACGCGACAGGGAATACTGCCAACAAGGATGAGGAAAAGGCTGAGGTACTTAATGCCTGCTTTGCCTCAGTCTTTAATAGTCAGACTGGTTACCCCCAGGGTAGTCAGCCCCCAGTGCTGGAAGACAGGGAGCAAGTGTGGAACAAACCTCCCATAATCCAGGAGGAAGCAGTTAA